TTTTAGTTTCTGCCAACTCCCCCCCCCCCCGACACACACACATTTTATTTGGTTTCCTCCTCTAATTTTCATCTCTCTCAAGCAAACCAAAAAACTAACAAAATGTTTGTTCCACCACATTGGTTGCTCTGCTAATGTAATAATGAGCAACTTCAACTACTCTGACAATTCATGGAAGGAGAACTCTGCCAAATATGACCGATCGTGTAGTTCTCATCTGCATTGACAAACTCTGCTTGTCTCAAGAAGTCAATGGGACAACAACAGGTAAGGCGCTCATGGATCTGGTATTGGCCAAAGGGGATGATGTAGTGAACTACCTGAGAATCAAAGGGAAGCTGGGAGACAGTGATCATGAGTTGATCACTTTCTCTATCCATCGCAAAGCTGGAAATCAGTCAGCAATGCAGAAATCCTTGATTTTAGGAAAGACAACTTTCATAAGCTCAGGAGGCTGGCTGCCAAGGCCCTGAGAAACCAGAATCTAACAGAGAGAGGGGTCCATGATGAGTGGTTGCTCCTAAAGAACACGATCCTTGAAGCACAAGGGAAGTCCATCCCAGCCCATAGGAAAGGTAGCAAAAGGGCTGGGTGACCCCCATAGCTAAATAAGGGACTCTTGGATCTCCTGTATCTGAAAAGAGAAGCCTACAAGGGTTGGAAGTCAGGCTGTCAGGAACTCAGGCTGCTCCCCTGGGCTTTGTTGGCGAACACTGTATTTTCGGTAACCTAGTTGTGTTCCCCTCCTCACTCCCATCCCTCTAATGATAGTCCCTTGCTAGGGCGATTTGTATTTCCCTACTGGCTTTGTCATCTTTTTGGAGTCACAATCCTAAACAACTACTAATAAAATTCAATCTCTCTTTCTCTGTACCTATTTACATTGTAAGCTTATTGGGACAGGATCTTTCTGTTCCTCTGTGTCTATACCATGCCTAGCACAAAACCTAGAGCTTGGCTTAAAATGCTCAAACCCAAATTGATTTTTCAAGCTAACAATGGTCAAGCATATTTGAAACCAGGCAAAAAATTATTTTCCAAAACTGGGAGGGGGGGGGGGAGGGGAAATGTTCAATACGTAGCAGCCTGAAGACTATGCCTAGATGAAAAACACATGTCCCACTACACCTCCCAAACCTGTGCCTTAAAACTGCCAGCTCCTTGTACTCTTCATTGAATTAAACAATTTTCTGCCATTTGAAAGGGTGACTTCCTCCTTTCTTTCAGTTTTATATCTTCCTACCTTCCCTGGCTTCACAATACATTTTCATTTCTATCATAGATTGCAATATAACTGCCACCATTGTCCTCAATATCTGTTTTCCTCACCTTTGTCTCTCCATACCTCCTTAACACTTGAGAGGAAAGTCTGGACCCAAGTGAAAACTTTGGCAAAGCTCCTACTTACTTAAATGGGAATGGGATCTTTTACACTCATTCTTCCTTTCTGTATTTTCTACCTATTCACCTAATTTTTCCTTTGTCTCTTCTTCTCCCATTTCTCTCAACAATCTCCCTAATGTCATGAATCTGACTGACAAGTGGTGATGACCTTTCCTGCTGGAAACCAATATCTTCTACTAAAAACCCAGAAGCCAGCATGAAAAACCACAATGAATCTGGTTCAGGTGACTAGTAGAAGGGTCCAGGGAATATGCAAATCTCCATTTCTATTCAGTCCTTGACCTCTTTTCTGAAGAATGTCATAGAGTCCCTAAATAGCCTCATATAGTCTCATATTTCCAACGGAGCTGAGAACCAGGGTAGATTAGCTTGCAGTTTGTAATACTGTGGCTAACCTGCTTCCAATACTCCACGTAGCCTGGATACCGCTATACCGTACCTACTGAACTACAGTACAGCCAGAGCATAAAGTTCTAGATGTATCCTGAGAAAAGGACATGAAATTTGTCATTTCCTAGGATCCTATGATTTATATAACCTTATAAGTAGGGATCTGGGTTTTCAGTTTCCTGGGAAAAAACACACATTTTCCCCTATAAAACAAGAAACAGTGGGTTTCCTCTTTTGCAAACTGCTCCAGATTCCAGCCTGCAACGAGCTGCTTGCAAAAGGGTGCAAAATCCCCAAGCCCTGTCCAGAGGGGGAGGGGAAGAGGGCAGGGGCAGGACCTGAGAATTTGAGACCAGCCAGGGCTGGCTTAGACTCACTTTGCTTCCTGCAGCCTTCGGGATTAGTAGGGCCTGGCCTACAGACCAGCCTTGCATCACTCATCCAACCCACAGGGCAAGAGGTTGAGTACCACTGCCCTAAGGGAAACCGTACTGGCATATGAAGATTGCAGATTCAGAATCATGTTCTTTTCTGGAATACTTTGTTTGCTTTCAATCATAATTAAATACTTAGAACGTAATAATCCTACTAATATACATTTCAGAACCTGAGAAAATAAAAATTGGCCAAGTAAAGGCAAGGGAATGATCTGCTTAAACAAAAATGCACTGGATCTACATTTCACTTGGGAAGCACAAAGCACACAGAAAAACCAAAGAACAGTTAAAATTCCAGTTCATGTTCTAGAAAAAAATTGAAGAACAGACCTTGAGAAATCAGTTAAAATTTTCCTTAGACCAGGGAAAGGCAATTATTTTTGCTGGGGGGCCACCTAATGAATTTTGCCAGACTGTCGAGGGCCACATGGGTAGCCCCACCTCTTGACAGATGCCACACCCCCTGGTCACCATCTTGGGACCAGAAGTCCCACCCCCTAACCTCTGATGTTTGCTACCCCTCCCCTCACCACTCATGAGGAGGCTCCGATGGAGACATCGGAGGAGGAGGTGGGTAGTCAGTCAACTCCCGCCCCAAGAGGAGAGACAGGGTGGTGCTGGTGGGGGACTCCTTCCTAAGGGGCACCAAGGGACCCATCTGCTGTCAAGACCCCCTAGCCCATGAGGTCTGCTGCCCTGGGGCCCACATCTGGGATGTTGAAGAGAGGACCCCTAGGCTCATCTGGCCCTCTGACCAACCCCATGCTCTTCATCCTCGTGGGCACGAATGACACAGCCAGGAGTACTCCAGACAGGGTCATGAGTGACTACAGGGCTCTGGGGACTGGGCTCAAGGCATCGGGGGCACAGGTAGTTTTCCTCTGTGCTTCTAGTTGCAAGCCACAGACCTAGGAGGGAGGGACATGTCAAAGAAGTGAAACAATGACTCTGGCGGTGGTGCTACTGAGAGGGTTTCAGTTTCTTCAACCATAACACATACTTCAGAGAGAGGACTCCTGGGAAGGGACGGCATCCAACTCACGTGGAGGGGTAAGTCCCTGTTCTCAGCCAGGATGGAGGGGAAGGACTTGGTAGCAGTTTACCACTATATCAGGGGACTACATCAAGAGCTCAGTGAAAAACTGTTCACCAGGGCGCCCTTGGGGAAAACCAGAAGTAATGGCCGCAAACTCCTGAAAAACCATTTCAGGCTTAACACTAGGAAAAATTTCTTCACAGTTAGGGTGGCCAGACCGTGGAATAAACTCCCTCCAGAGATGGTGCAATCACCTACCCTGGAAATCTTCAAGAGTTGCCTGTCCTGCCTAGTGCAGGGGGCTGGACCCAATGATCTTGGAAGGTCCCTTCCAGCCCCTTACAATCTATGAATCTATGAAGCAGGGCAGGATCACAGGACACAGTAGGAGCTGTCCCGGCCCCAAGGACTGGAGTCAGCGGTTCCCCCTAATCCCCCCCCACATTCTTAGCTGAGTTTGCGCTCCCAGATGGAGGAAGGACAGGGGAACAGCCCCAGGGTTGCCAGGCCAGACAGAAGCTTTGGGCTGGGGTGGGGCCAAGCTGGGTGGGCCTTGCTGCTGTGGCTGCTGGGTCCTGTCACCTGCCTTAGACAGGTAGCCATATTTCTAAATTTAACAATTTTCTAAATTTTTTAGGGACCCCTGCAAGCTGGACAAAGTGGCCTGGTAGGCCAGATCCAGCCCGCAATGATTTTGCCCACCCCTACCTTAGAGCGACTCAAGACTGATCTCTGATATGCTCAAGCTGTTACTTTTAACTGGCAGCATTATGCAAAAAAGTGGAAAGAAAAGGCTTTCCCCTCTGCTAAAGAGAGAAGAAATGCACAAACAACAGAAATGAAAAAACAAATGGACACCCAAGTGAGGATTTGAAGGTAGTGATACAGACTTTGTAGAAAAGCTTACCTAACACTTGCTCATAAATGGGACCTAATTCTCCACTTCCTTGCACATACAGCTTTATTCTACACTGGCTGAAATCAACAACAGAGCTCCCATTGATTTTAGCAGTGCAGGATCAGAACCTCAAACCACTACAAAACTAGCAAAGACATCTATCATCCTCATTTGTTAGCATTCTGCACTCACCTGACATACCAGAACGATTATAAAGGGCACAAAGACACAGAAAGTCAGATGCTATTTTTATGAGCATTAAAAAACTGCTCCCTCAAAATTCACCAAAATTAAATAAAAATACCACAAGTTGAATCTAAACTGTACTGGCAGTTTCAGTTCTACATGCAACAGGCCATATCATGTGACTGAAATTAATGGGGAGAATTAGTGGAGAGCTCTGTTAACACAGGACTGTACAGAACTGGTCTGATGTAGTTCATGAGTTATTTCTGAATAATAGGAAAGTGGCAGAAGGCAGGGCAGGTTGGCACCTTAGAGACTATTAACTCATTCAGAAACATATACTTTTATAAGCAAAAACCTAATTTGTCAGATGCTAGTCCTTTCATAGCATTGTCAGATGTGCAAACACCTAAACGTGATTGTGGGAGGGGAGACAGAAGCCCCCCTCCCAACATGTTCCATGGAGCCAAGCAGGGAGAAGCAGGATGCTGGTGGAGAGAGGCAAAGCGCTGGCAGGGATACACAGGTGGGGGAGCCAGGTAGGAGCAGCAGAGCTGGTCACAAGGCAAGAAGTCCCAGCGGCCACCAGGGAACCCCAGTGGGGAGGACCATAGGTCGGGGCACAGCGAGCCAAAGTTGGACGGAGGGGGTACAGCAGGGAGAACAAGACTGTCCCTGCAATCAAGAGGGAAGACCCGGCTGCGCTGGAGCGTTCAGGTACCCCGGCAGGGAAGGGTGGCAAGTGACAGCCAGACCCAGTGGGCAGCTGGGTGAAGAGGGAGATGCAGGCGGCGACCGGCCCACAGCCCAGTGGGGAAGAGGCGACTCTCACCAGGTGGTTGGAACAGGAGTGATTAACTCCTAGCTTGCTGGTCCCTGGGAAAAATAACCCGAGGGATGGATGAAGATTCACTCTCCCATCCCAGGGAGGCAGAGGGGACCTGGGGAGCCAGAGTCCCCATCATACTTCATCGGCAGATGCCGAACTTCTTCGCCTTGAGCAAAGAGACTTCTAAGTTATCATTACCCCAGGCGGGGCGCGTTTTAGTTATCCGGAGCGACTGATGGCCAAGCATACCCAACCCTGCTTGGGGCAGGCCTCGCAGGTGAGAAGAGATCATCCCAGGGAAGATTACGGGGAGCAGAGTCCTCCCAGGACGTGGACATGGTAAGGGTGGGGTAAAGGGGAAGTTCGGAGCCCCACAAAGGAAGGCCGCCAGGGCCACGACCCCTCTGGGACCACCGACAGCAAACTGCCTCCCCAGCTATCAACATCAAAGTCGTGGCAGCCAAGTAGGGGCAGCGCTCAGAACCATCTAGGTGGCCCCAGGGTGCGGTCTCACCCTGATGTCACTAGAGAGAAAGGCACCAACCAGAAAGGGGCTGAAGCCTTACAACACCTACCAGCAACAATGATTCACAAGATAAATCCATTGATTTCTAACAGGAAATCATGTCGTAAACATTCTGACCTCTTGTCTTTCTAAGGTCTTTATGCAGTCAAATAAGGAGTAAAAATAAGAGAAAGCATTTTCTGAGAGGTGTCTGGAGTCTAAAAAGGTTGAGAACCACTGTTCTAAGATTATTTAGTAGACTGTAGTTGGGCAACCTAGTTACCAGTAGATGGAGCACTATGACTAGTTGTAAAGTTGTTCTGGAGTTTTTTCATTTTTCCTGTTATGCAAAACACACACACACACACCCATCCTTCAGGACAGACAAATGTGATGCAAGTATCTGGCTTTCAGTAGCGTTCAACAACTGAACTAACAACTGACTTCACTTGGATTGTGGGTGCTCTGTAATTCTGAAAAAATAGGGTAAAATGCAGAGGTGCACAACCTTTTGGCCTCACAGGCTGGATGTCAGACAACCCTGTGGGCCCAGATAGGCTATGGAGTGATCCTGTGTGCTAGCATGATCTAATGCACAGGAACATGTCCAGCCTCCAGGGCTCCCCACGAGTCCGGAAATTTAGTAACAGAGAAACAGCAATTAACACGGTCTTTTCTGCTCCACCACCAGATTTCTGGAGCTGCGGGGAGCCCCATGGGCCAGATGACACAGCTCCACAGGCTTGATCCGGCCTGTAGGCTGAACACCAGTGGTCTAAAGGCTTAGACAGCTGAAACACATTAGTAAGAACAGCAGTTGGTATGAGGAGAAACACTATTATTTAAAATTATTATAATTTAAAATATGTTTATTTTATGTACAATATTAAAAACATCACCAAGAAACATATTGTAGTAAAATGCCACTGCATATACTCCACAGTTAATTATTAATCCAATGTAGAAGTACCCATAAATGAATACCTTTATACTTATTAATTGCTAAAGCCCCGACCTTTCAATGATACACATGCAAGGGATTCTTAAAGAACACCACTGACAACAACGCACACCTTCCTAAGCATTTCTCACTGGAGATCAAGGCCTGGATTTTGTTCTGTATCTCCAAGGTCCTTCATTAACCTACTTTGCAAGTAATTAGCAAGATTAGGAAGCCTAACTCAAGACACTATTTTAGAAACAAAAACTGGGCTACAAAACTCCCAAGATTCAGAGCTTTTGATTGTTACCAAGATGGGGTCTTTTGCAAAACTGGTATTTAAAAAGAGATGCCCTAAAATTCAGGGCTGGGCTTACCAAGGGTCTGGACTTCGGCCCAATCCTTCTCTAATGAAAAGAGATCTCAAAGTTGCTGGAACTCATTCAACTGATAGGTTCAGAGCAGCATCTTTAAAAAAAAGCAGCTGGAAATCAGCCCTGCTATGCTCAGTGTGATACACACACATAGTGAGAGCTTTCCCCTCCTCAAAGAGATGCCATAGTGTCAATAAGCAGATCTCAACCAAGAAGCATGGAGCTACCTTGGAAGGGCTGCAAGGGTGGGTATGTGTGAGGAAGAGAGACCGTGACACTGACAGCAGTCAACTGCCTGTATGCTAGTTTGGGCAGGGGGGTAGAGAGCATCAGAGCCTGGCTACAAGTGCCAGTGTGGATGGCACCATGACTGCAGCTCTACTGCTTCTCTCCCTGAGACAGCATCAGCTGAGATACCTTGGTGCCTGCAGCCATGGACAGACCTAAGATTCTGAAAAAAGGTTGCAGATGGTGTGCTGCATTATCACATACAACACAACACATTTTTTCAGTTAAAAAGGAACTAAAAGTTTTAGTAATGTGTTAGGGAATCTGGGGCCCTATGAATGAATTCAAGATCAAAGCACAAATTATATATATATGAATGCGTACTCCTTTGCTATATCATGTATTATGTATAACAAAACACAAGCTAGGCAAAAAATAATCAAGAGGCTATTTCATTAGTCCTGTAGTCATTAGCATTTAATATGCATCTTTTTCAGATGGATAAGCATCTTGATAGTGCGTGCAATGCTTCACTGAAAGTTATTTCCATGCTTCAGTGAATGTTCACCTGATGTAACATTTCCACACCTGAGTTAATGCGTAGAGTTAAAAACGGTCTGCAGGGCTGTGAAATAGGAGCTACATGACCAGAGGCAGTGAAGGCCCCCTCTACACGCTACACATTATGCACTTCACTGGCTTTTTGTGCAGTTAATTTAGACCGGCTACACGTGCTAAGTGACTACCACCCAATAAAAAGGTCCCACCCAGCTACAAAGTTAGAGCTGGAAAGTGTGCTATAACTTTATCATTGATTGCTGTCCAGCTTTAATTTGTAGGTGTAACAGGGTCTCTCCTGTGGCTGGGAGCCCCTTTGGCTGACAGGGGGCTCCCAGCTGCTGCCAGGACCATATGCACCAACCCGTTTTTGCCGAGCCCCACGCATGCACAGACAAGGCAGTGCATTACTTCAACCCAGCTTGCCCGACGTGGCTCATGGGCGCTTGAGCCCTGCAGCGCCTACAGCCAGGAGAGGCACGCAACCACCGGACTCTCCACCCCATGGTGTCCAGCAGCCGTGGGGCTACGGGTCGTGAAAGGCACTGGTGCTGCCCCAGCTGCGAGTCCTGTCAGCCACAAGACTCACAGCGTGGGGGCCGGGGCAGGGGACCCGGGATGGCAACCCCAATTCCCTCCGTGCTGCCAACCAGGCCTGACAGCAAGATGGTGCATCCCACAGGGGCCGGAGGCGCGATGGCGCTTCAGACCCTATCGGCCTTTCCCCGCCGCTCTCGAGGCCCCAGCAGAGCAGGGCGCTGGGAGCAAGGCCCGTGCAGGGGGAGGCCCGCAGGGACACGCGGCATCCGCCTAGCCCGGCGCGGCGCGGTGGTGGGGCTGGTGTCGAAGAGGGATGCCCCGGGCCCCAAGGGCCCAACCCCCGACCCGGCCCAGGACTTCGCCCAGCTACGAGGGTGGGAGGGGAAGGGGCGCGTTACCTGGCGGGCGGCGGCCATGACGACGCTGCGTACTACAACTCCCGGCAGCCTTCGCGGCGCCTTCTGCCGAGCCCCGCGCCTAACCCTGCCCCCTCGCGCTTTGCTTACTTGCTCGCGCACTCCTTTCCCGCCATACGTCCTCTGGGCAGTCTATCGCGCCCCTTCCGGCGCCTCACTCCTTTCTGTTTCTCGAACCCCCTCTTCAGTGCTCCCGAGCCGTTCTCTTCGAGTCACCCTGCACGGGAGAAGTGGCGCCCAGCAGAGAGCGGTATTGCCGGCCAAGCGACCTGCCTTCTCCACTGCTCCTCTCTCGAAGCATTTTCCTCACTTAAATCATCCTGGTTATTATTTATAGTCTTCCTTACAAAGATAATGGCCCCCAAATTAGCATTTTAAAGGACAGAAAAGCTCCCAGTCTAGCTTTAGATGTGATGAAGGAGCTGGAAAGTAACACAGGAGGGGAAAGTAGAAAAGGACCAAGCAAAGATAAGGGCAGCGATGATCCTAGTCAGTGGTGGATTTACCATGCAACAAACAGTGGGGGGTGCAGGACAAATTTGACAAATGACTGAACTTAATAAGCACTGCAAATTGCAGGTCCAGGCTTTCTGCATGCTGTGAGCTTCTGCGGACTGTGCTCTAAACATGGTTGTTTTAAGTAGTCTACCAAAGAATTGCCTTCAGCTTTTTTTGCTGTCTTGAACGTTCTTTTTCTTGGCTGCGTCCCAAGGGGGGACTCAAAAATGAAGCTGCACACAGGGCCCCACTAACTCAAAATCCGACACTGGTCCTAGTGGAGCTGAAGGAGCCAAGCCACCTCTCCATGTCACCCTTCAACTCACAATGCAGCTCTTGAAGACTTCCCGGGTGGTGGTGTAGTGAAAATAGATACTTTTCTCTGTGTTTCTTTGTT